TCAAGATTTCGACGGAATTCATGGCTTCGATCCATGTAAGTGTCAGCATCGAAAAAAATTCCCATAGCATGCTCAGTGTGATTCAAAAACCTCTTAAATTATTTTCTTTAATAACTACTTGAGTCTCTGGTCTAATTTGAGGTTTGAAACTACATCAGATATGAATGGACATTGGATATTTTTAAAATTGTTGCAAATAAAAGGAATTTAGTATTTATTACAATCTGGTACACATTTAACAAACTCTACTAATAAAATATATTTTCGCATTCAAAATGAAAAATATTTTAAGATTTTATTAAAAGTCTGTCAGCTATTTGCACTATTCAATGGATTTGCTTTTCTCAACGAAGATCATCCTGCGAAAATTATGTAATTTGTTTTTTCAAAAGTATGACTCAGTATTCAGCATTTATTTTTACACGTTACCTTGCTTAGCAGAAGAAATCGTGAATTTATGATGCAATTTTAATATTTAAAAAATTTACGAATATGTTCCAAACAATTTGAAATTTTTTTTAGCAAAAATATGTAAATTGTTTGTTACACGGGAGCACTTTGAAAATGCAATGAAATTAATGATTGATAACTAGTACACATATGAATGCCCAAACTAATAAATATGGTAATTAACTCTGTTGTTCAGCTCGAAATATTAATGAATTCTCAATTTTCGTGGTCTGCTGCATAATTCGCTATCTTTACTCGGTGTCATAAATTTAAGGTCTTGCCAGATTAAATCACAATCAGAAGCATACATGGTTCTTCAAATTTCGGTTTTCTTAAAACTTTTTTAGAGTATGCTTCCATGATCCATTTACACATATTTTAGCTCGACTCTTGTACTTTATATTCAGGCTCACACTGTAATACCTCCACGTATCCATTTTCTTGGAATTCCATCTCTGAAATATTTATTAATTGAGATGGCAAACGACTGTTTGCTTTCTTTTAAAAACTGTATTCGTTTCTTCATTTAGACAGCTCCGTCTGAACTCTGTACTCCTGTATAGTTCTATGCGAAAAATACTCGGATATTGCTTTTTCCCGAAAATTATCTCGCGGAAGTAAGCGCAAGGAAAACATATTCTGGCGAAATATGTACACGGAAATGTAGGTATATCATGAATATTGACGTGATGCCTGCACGTTGTTTTTCTTTAGTGCAGACTATCCTTCCTGTTTTAACAGTTGTGAGGGATTTAAAAGAAATTCATAGTTACAAGCATGTGGCAAGAAGTTTTCCCTATGCGAAAAGAAAAGATCGTTTTAACTGATTAGTCATTCACTCAAAGTAAAGAATAAGAGTAGCATTATTTGGCTTGATCACGATAATTGATTATTGACAGATATCGAACTCGCGTTAACCAAGCTTTCCTACGGTAGATTTGTGTGTGTGTGCAGCTGCAAAAGACTGCTAGAATCCGGCTTCTACAATTCAAGCGATAGTTTCTTCAAGTTTAAGGGATGAACCAGAACACTATTGCATTCTTCAACGAAACTTCTGATCGGGGAAGTCAAATCACTCCCCCTTTAAACGTGTCCACGCGAAGTTATCCAGATGTTCATCAGATGGCGGTAACCTGGTAGGTGGCCTTGGGTTGAATGGAGCACTTGAAACCATGTGTTGAGCCTCTATAAAAAACGGGGGCCGTCAGGAGGTTAATAGAGAGGAACGCAGTCACTGGAGTAAAGAATATTAATGCCTATTTGGCTGGAAGTTGAGAATGAATTTATGTTTTAAGTATACCATCTAAGCTTGCTTATAAATGTTTGCCTACCAATGTTTCGCAGGTTTTCGAACAAGGGATGACTGCATATCCGAATTAGGAAAACATAGTCTATTGAAAGATATTTTACGGTAACATTCTTCTTAGATGAATTTAAAACGGGATCTTTATTCACGTCTCTCCAGATAACCGTAGTTCAGCGTAGTACCCCCCTAAATTCATATCAAAAGTATTAAGCGGAAAGAAGTCATCAGTTCTCTCTATCCACAATTTTCTCCCTGCTTTCTGCATACCTTCGTGGTGTAACAATTAGCACACTCGGCGCGTATTCGAGAGATCCAGGTTCGGGTCCCGGCGAGGGCTCTGCACATTTTTCATGTCTTCCTGCTTCAAAAAATCCTAATGTCTCTACAACTGCATTCGACGTAACCTCGCACTCGTCCAGTTGCACCATTTAAAAATCTTCCCTGTAAACCACCATTTAAACTTCTTCATATAGTTCATTCTTTAAATGATCTCAAAAAAGGCTAACTGTTTATCTGTAAGCACATTTTACTCCGTTTTGTCGAGTACCAGACGTTCTTAAACGGTTGATTATAACTAATGGTACAAATTGAGTACCTTATATGACTCTGGACATATATTATCCTAGTGTATCAGGCTCACGCTTTTTAGATACTCTATACGATGTATTATATCGTATTTTATTAAACTCTGTGTGCGTGATATATTTTTGGCATAGTCTGAGAACGCTGATTTAAATTGTGTTTTATTACGTTATTGAAAATGCTCCGGGTATGCGCATTACTTCCCATTTTGGTAAGGCAAGCATTACTGATTATACTTACGGTTCGTAGGATGTAATGCGTAAGGGACTATGAAATACTTAAATGTTCAGATCAACTTACCTCACTTTTTAAGACACTTGCGATTTCCTCCAAATCTTTTGCGAGAAGGAAATCTTTTAGTGCAAATGAAAATATTTTTCATAAATTTCTCTTTATCTAAAGTTTTAGTAACTGCAGAAAATGAAACACATTACAATTTCACTTAGAGAAAAGAAATTATTTAAAACTTCCATAATAATAATAATAATTAATTAATTTTTTTGTAAGAACAGCTAGTTTTCTAGTTAAAAGTATCTTCGGCAAAGTTAGCTTGAAACGTTATTTAATAATTAAAAGCATTACGTACATTTGAATATTTAAGATAAAATTTATAACTTGGTTTAGAGAAATTTATAACTTGCATACTTTAGAGAAAACTTAAAACATGGTTTATTATGAGTCAACTACTATTGAATAAGGTACCTTTGTTTTTTCGATTTTATTAACTCTGATTTTACAGACTTAAAACAAGTTAATCAACGTCAATTCAAATGAATTTTCAGGAAATAAGGAAAATTACAGAATAGTTTTTAGTTTACATTTTAAAATTAGAAATTACCGTAAGTTAAATAAGCTAAATTAAAAGTAATACATATTTCCAAGCTAACACATTTATTAGGATTTCTAAAATAATACATCTTGCTGTACCTTACCTTTTCTACGACGACATCGTACGTCTCCAGACTTGTAAAGAGCAGGCCTGGCCAGCGACTTAACGCAAACGGTTCGCGGAAACAAAAAATATAAAGAATATTAGTAATAAGCATTACATTGCTCTGACACTGGATTATCATTAAAAGTGTGTTTCATATATCATAAAAAATTATAATCGAATAGTTTTATGAAAAGAACTGAAATGAAAATACTATGATTAGATTAATAACATAAATATGAAAGCATTAAATAAGCCCAGCATTTTGCAGAATGCCAATAACAACGAATCAATAACAAGAGTTCAATCCAGTGTTTCATAAATTTAAACTACAGAAACTCACAGAGGTCTCAGCGGCCAGGCCTGAACTTTAGGTCGTCGTAGTAAAAGAGTAAGCAAACTTCGAAGTAAAATAACTGCATTAATTAAATTTAGGACATATTTTCATCAGCAGTACTTCATTATAGTAATTAAAATGCACTGTCAATCGACTGCTCAAACATGGTTAAGAATATAATTTTTAAAAAAAAATCACTTTTTTTTTACTCTTATCTATTAGGACATTTAGTCACATAATTACACACCAAGTATAGTTAAGAGTGTTTATATAGCAGAAAAGTATGGCATACATATTACATTTTTCCTGCAGATGAAACATAAAGTTTATATGTAAATGTCTTTTATAATATTAATATGAATATGCGTTTAAACTATGCAATGTATCTTATCGGCAAAATCATGCCTACCACATCAGAAAAACTCAACAATAAAATAATGATTACACAGACGGCAAAATTTAATCAAAATTGCAAATAAAATAAGGCGTTCAATTTAATAAATATAAAATGATACTCTATATATATTGCGAACATGTATCAACAGAGAATATTTTATTCTTAGACCCACTGTAGAATCAATCATATTAAGATCAAAGAATCGATACGATATCTATAATCCTTTCTAGCATGATCTAGTTTTTCTTTTCCTTTAGATTTTAAATATATGTTTCATGAAACAAAAAACTAATCCGTGTAAAAATTATATCAAACAGTTAAATTAAATGCAAATTTCAAATAGTTAAACACAAACATAAAATAAAATCATGCAATAGAACAGTGTTAAGGATGCGTGAGAAAAAACAGATCGAACATAAACAAAATAGTTTTGTAGATGTCCATGCTTTTTTACTAATTCGTTATAAAGCAATGAAATCAAAACCACACTGAACATAAAAGCAAAGAAAATTAAATACGGTGGAAAATGCTACAATACAGGTAGTCCATGAAATCCAGTGTCAGCAGCAATGTACCGGGCGCAAACAAAGTTTAAAAAAAAATTATTAGCATTTTCGCGGGAACCGTTTCCTAGTGGCAGTCAACCGGCAAAGATGAGATACCGTCAGTTCAAAGAGGAAACTTGAGAACATTTCTCCACTGAATAAATTCTGAACGATGCAGTTGCAGTAACTACTGTCATTGTAAATTTAATATTTCATACCGCACATCGCAAGCCAACATTAAATTTCAGCCAAAGGAAAAACAAACTTTCTTAGTTTTCTGTCTCAGTGAAATTTTTAAAATAGTTTGGATAATGTTTTTATATTATTGAAAAATACAATAAGTTCCAAATTTTGAAAGCTGCGGAGTTACGGTCAACAGCGCGTTTTCCCCTTTGAATACAAACGGCATCCAATAGAGTCTGAAAGTGAGTAACAAGATATAAGTCACTGACCTTTGATAGATCCAGAGGAAGTTTGCGGTTGGGCTACCTCCACTTTTGCCAAGCTGGTTGCCCAAGACATCAGCTCCTTGTCCTCAAATGTAACAGCACAATCCGTCGGAATAATTATTTTCGTGGGTAAAATAGTTAACAGAGTTGCAAGTTTAAAGTATGCAAGAAAATTTTACCGAAAATAGTGAGTCTGTGAATCGCTGTTCACAAACAGTCCAGCATGCACAATAGTTCTTCCTGTTGTCGTTATACAACTGTTTCCTCTTTTCCGAAGCGAATATGAATAACTTTTCATCCAACACCAGCGAGTAAAATTTTGGTGGCATGGATTATCCAGGTCCGTATTCGAAGTCGCGGCATACACGTGCAGTTTGCAACTATGTTGGTGCTCGAAAGTGTAGTAGATATGAGAATATACTTTTTTATATTTTTAAAGTGTCTACGGGTCCATTCACAGCATAAATGCTCAAAATATTCAAGAACCTTTAAGCAGAAAAAACAACTGAGATTTCAATCGAAAACTTCCTTGTTTAATTGCAGAGAACACTAAAGATTTCATGAATTTAAATATGATGTCGATTTAAAGACGGTTACTATGAGATGGAATTTACTTGATTTTTACAAAAAAAAGAATAAATAATAAAACGGCGCAATAATTTGATCTTCAAGAAAACTTCCGTTTTATTTTAAAAGTTCGTGATGTCTTTTGAGAACAAACAAACCAAATCATATACCGCAGATAAATAGCGTGCAATCACCGCCGAGTTTCCGGACGATTTAAAAACAAGGAGAGGAAGAAAAAAAAAAGGAAGGGGCTGCTGTTTTCTCTTCCGGATAAGTAAGCAGTAAAAACCGACAGTCACTGTCACGTTTCCAGAGTTTTTTGAGAGGACCCTTTCAACCACCTGCTTTCAATAGCGGTTTTCTTCCGTATGCAGGCAGAATTCCGTTCGTCAGCCTCTTCTCGTATGTACGGGCCATCGGACGATTCCACTCGACGCGAGGTAGGGGAAGTCTTTCTCTCGCGCGCTCTTCTCTCTGCTTGGGATGGGACAGGATAAATCTCTCGCGCTGTAAAACTTTTTAGTTCGGATTAAAAGCGGGTGCCAAGCTACAGCGGGCTAATAGTGGGCGGGAAGATAAATAGGATTATGCTATGGAACAAGTTTTCAACAGTGGTGCGAGGCTTCTTTCTTAAGTTTTTTTTTTTTTTTTTTTTAAATTATATAACTAAGGATGTATATTACGTGCCTATTAATGGAAAACAAAATCGTGTTTTCCCAGGTTTTTAAATTTTGTAACTTTTAAATATTCTTAATTACCTAACATGTTTACGTCATATGCACACAATCATAATTTTATGAGTTTTGACTGACAAGACCATCAATGGGATTTTCTTTTACATTAAAATAACTCTTTTTTTTTTTTTTTTTTTTTTTTTTTTTTTTCGGTTGTTGTTATAAAGTACCTACAAAAATGTATGCACAGAAAGCAAATAGGTTTTGGAAAATACTTCTAACTTCTAAGCCGGAAAGCAGTTGTGGGATTGTGAACTCTCTTCCCCCCCCTAGTTTATACTCATTTCTGAACTGCAATGATCAACGAAAGTAAGATTATATATTGGAAGATAGGAATAATTTTCATCTGAACATTAAAGTACATCATAGTTCTACTTTCGAAACGATTCCATGACCTTTCAGTATGCTGTCCATTAACAATTGCGAAATTATATTTTCTTCCCATGGCGGCAGTTTCAGCAGATTATTTGTAAGTTATTAATTAATTATTTTAATAGAATACTAATAATTCTATACCAACTCAAATTTGACTATCTATTAGAACTTTTAAAATGAATTAACTACATCTGCGTAACAATGACGCAGTCTATTTAATTCTGCTAGAACGTAAAATTTAAGAAGTAAGTACCACTGATTAAACTTTTTCATGTTTGCGAAAGTGTAATTATGATGCATGGGTTTTTAATATACGGGTACAAAAGCATTCTTTAGTAATTAGCATTATCCAACTAGATTTACGTGGAACGGCTTACATATTCCGAAGGCACAACGCGAGTCCATATAACTTACCTTTGTTTATATAAGGTTAACATAAAAATCTTGATGTTAACAAAGCAAAAAAAAAAAAAAAAAAAAAAAAGTTGCATAAATGCAATGACTAATATTCGCATGGTTAATATAATTATTTTAAATTTTAATCAAATAAAAATTATTCATTTTCGCAATTATGAGTTTACTTCTGTATTTTAATGCAACATAACATAAAGGATCAAGATTTTTAAACTATATGCGTTTGTAATGAATAATGATGATTTTTGAATTAAGCCATAGACCTTTTGTTAAAGAACTAAAAATTAGCAATAAGAATCGGCGTAACCTGGGTAAGTTTGCACGTTACGCCGAAAATTTATGCTGCTGTAAGGAATTCTGATATTCTTCGAAGTTTTGTGCACATACTGAAAACAGCCAAAGAAGCTTGGCAACAACCATGTAACTGTTATTTTCAGCATCCAACTAGCCTTCTCGCAATATCGGTTCTAAATAGCTATTCAAATTTGCAGGGATAGGTTGCCTATCGTTGATCTTCATTCCCTTGTTCTGTATTAAAATTTAAACAGACTTTTGATAAGTTTAAATCCCTTAAATGTATTATAACAGGAAGTAAATCTCGTTAAATAAAAAAAAAATATTCCACTATGCACGTTTCCTTTAAGATGTCTGAAAGAAAAGTATTTACAGTAGATTTTCCAGTTGTCATGAATAGATGATAATGGCTTAGTGTAAATATTGATTTCTCTTTAGAAGCTTTTAACTGAAAACCTGACGTTATTTATTTTGAAGAGAGTAGGCAGAAATGTTTATTGAAACTTCCATTTCCTTTGAAAATGTTTGAATAAGATCGTGATTAGAGCTCATTAGAAAAAGTAATCGTGATTGAACTCTTGTTTTTAAAGATTACGGAGAAATTTCTTTTATTTATTTTTATTTATCTATTATTGTTTTATTTGTAATTTATTTCTTTGACCAGTTTTCAAAGGTCTTAATTTTAATGTTATGGTTGTTGATAGCATGCTGGGCACTAAGAGGTGGTCTATCCCATTTCAGCTTCAGAAGAGTCAGAATTCCTAGTATCATGACTAGAAATTCATTACCATTATAATTAGCCTTTTTTTACAGCATAGCAGGCAAAATCTTTCCCGAAAGAAAAAAACAGAAGCAAACCTCATAATTACGCTAAGTAACTCCCTTTCACATTCTCTTTCGAAAATTACCTTTCTATTTCTCAAAGCGGTATTTCTAATAAACCCTGAAAATTCTCAGCTTTTATATACCTATCGTCTCGCTACTTTTATTTGGAGTTTTACTCTTTAAAAAACATAAGAAGCACCTCAAAATTTAAAATTAATTATACTCTTCTTCCGATGAAAACAGGAAGTGACTTCAGAAATTTCTTTTAAATTTAAATTTCTCATTATTCGGAAATTAATCCCCGCTTCAATAAAAAAAAATTATGGTAGCTGATGGGATAAGGTCAGTGATCTATATTTTCCGCAAGCTCAAACTTTCATTTCGGTGCCTTGATGACCACACTTCTTAATTACATTCAAACTTTAGGGCTAAAATGAGACGAGCAAAAAAATGGAAACAAGATGGGGAACGGAGAGGGAAAAACGCTAATAAAAAGGAGATTCTCTGAGTTTTATAGTGTTTAAAAAATGCAGTTTAGACTCGTGGAATGTAGTGGTTAACGCTTCCAAATTTTATCTAAAACTGTTCTTTAGGTGGCTGAAACTTCCCCACTTTTTTTTCAGGCACATAGAACTAATAATGTTTTCGTAACTTTAAAATGCATAAAATAAATGCAGTTATTTTCTTCTGTCCTGTTCCATGTCCAAGAGGGTTTCTGCTAGCTGCAGTACACTTTTTGTGGTATTTCTTTATGATTTGGAACTAAACTATTACAGTTTACTAAAATGTACATTTGCTGAAAAAGAGGTAATTTTATGATGCTGTTATGGATAACCTTAACATTATTTTTATTTGCATGTATACTGAACAAAGAGCGTTATATGCTTCACAAAAACACATCACAAATAAAAAGTGTAAAACATAATAGCGAGAAATAAACCTTTCTTTTTATGAAAGAAATATTGCACGTTTGCTTATATATAGTTGGTATGTTTTGGTATGCAGTTGTTTTTATTTCATTTTACAATTTTTATTCATACCAGTATTTTTCTTAAATTTAACAATCGATAAATTTGCGTTCTTACATAAATGTGTACAACGAAACGTTTCCCACAGATTTATTCTTGGGGCATCTCAAAAAATGGTTTCTTCTTTTCAAGCTTGCGTTTTATTTAACTATATGAATACTCTTTTTGGCGTAAGTAGCATATTGTAGAATGAAAAGAGAATTATTTTAAAACATAAAAAATACAGCTATTTGTAGAAGCTTTTGTTACAACAAAAAAGTAACTACAAACATTAAACCATTATAATTTAGTCTGCTATAAAATGTAAAATTTGATCAATCGATTAAGTTAAAATAATTCTTTACTTCTTGAATGGTATTCCTCCAGTTAAGACTGCTACATAACCTCATGATGAAAATATGTGTAAATAAGTGCATTTCGGTCATAAAGGTTTATATGGCAGAAATAAATGATTATAAAATTTTGAATCTATTTATAAAAGATTATTCTTTTCACTCTGAATATTGTTATTCGAAAAGTTGTTGAAACAATTTAATTCTTAAGGGGTGTTGGAACCCCAAAATCTTCAAAAATTTGTGATTTCGGATTTTTGCATTTTCAAATTCTCTACACTTTTATCTTTCTAAAAATACCATTCTTTAATCTCTGTTAAAATTAGAACTGTAAAAAATCTAGTTTAAATATGTCATCGACTGCTTTGATCAATGATGTTTTTTGCATAAAAACGCGTTTTTCTCCAAACGTGATTTTTTTATACTCGATGTACCTTTTCTCAGGAACTACTGCTTACAGGTATCTAAAATTTTTATGGCTTACTTATTAGGTTTCCTAATATTTACTGAAATGAGCTTTTTGTGATAAACTTAGAATAAAAAATTTTAAAAAGTTTTTTGTGTGAGAAAAGTGCTAAATTTTACTATGCCTAACAAAATATTCTGTAAATTACTCTAAAATTCAAAATGTATCAAAAGCTCATTTCAGTATAATCAGATAGGTATACTTTAAGTACGCAAAAAATTTCAAACGTGTATCTACAGCAGATTTTGAGAAAAGGTACATCGAAAATGGCGAATTTAACATTGTCAGTATAGGGGTTTCTGATACCCCTTAAAAGCCTAATACATTATTTTTAATGAACATTTATAAGATTAATCTCTAAATGTAATTGTGTAATTACCAAGAATTATTTCTTTTTTCCTTAAATTTCCTTATTTTTAATTTCTGAAGTTTTCATGTTAAAAGTTTTAGAATGGAAGTTTACGCAAGAATGTCCATATTCTGAGAATGTGACCATAGTAAAGTTACTGAAACGCAGGTAAATGCTAATAAATATATTTATCTGGAATTATTTTCCTAAAAAACACCAGGATCCAACAAGATGTCAGTCATTGTCACACATATTAGTGTGCATAAATCATTTTGTGAACTGTAACAAAGATAAGAAATAGGCATTGGTATACATTAATTCAATAGAAAAAAAAAACATATTTTCAGAATGCCAGCTTGCAACAATTCCATAGAAAACTGTGATTGAATATGTACGGAAGTTTCTCTCTCGCATCCGTGTGCCTTCGTGCTGTAGTTGGAACTACGTCCGGCTAGTAATCGGGAGGTCCAAAGCTCGAATCCCGCGAGGACAGAGCTCGAATCCCGCGAATCCAAAGCTCAAATCCCGCGAGGACAAATCATCCCGGGATGATTTTTGTGTTTC